TATGAGAACTTTGTTGACGATTACATGCAATAGACTGGCTTTGATCTTTGGGAAGAAGTCAACGGATCAAGCTACTTCACCACTGCTGTACAACACCGTGCTCTTCGTGAGGGTGCCACTCTCGCCACTGCTCTTGGTGATTCTACCCGTGCTACTACATACACCACTCAAGCTGCCAATGTGCTCTGCTTCCTTCAAGTAAGTCATCAGCAATCTATACATTTGACTGTGCTGGTTAACGATATTGTCTACGCTTAGTCTTACTGGTCACCTTCGCAAGCTTATGCTTACGCTAACATCAATGTCAACAACGGTCGCTCGCAACTCGATGCCAACACTATTTTGACTTCAATCCACACCTTTGATCCTAATGCTGGATGTGATGCTACAACTTTCCAACCATGCTCAGATCGCGCTCTTGCTGGACACTATGCTGTTGTCAACTCGTGAGTTGGTTTTCATCCCTAGGACCGATGTGTTCGCTCAATAATGCCACCATTAGATTCCGTGGAAGCCTTTACCCCATCAACTCCGCTATTGCAGCTGGACATGGTGTTGCAGTCGGACGCTACAAGGAAGACTCCTACTACGGTGGACACCCCTGGTAAGCAGCCTAGTACAGTAATCCTCTTTAGATCACCAAACTCATTGTCGTTTCCAGGTATTTGTGTACATTCGCGGCTGCAGAACAACTTTACGCCGCATTGTATCAATGGAACAAGCTCGGATCAATCCCAGTAACCTCGGTCTCGCTCCCATTCTTCAAGCAATTCCTCTCAAGCGCAGTTGCAGGATCCTATGCGTCCGGCTCTACTCAATACCAGTAAGTGGTGTAATTTGCTGAACCTCTCTCCATAACTAACATTGGTGAAATAAGAACCATTACTACTGCAGTCAAGGCTTATGCAGACGAGTTCATCGCCGTCAATGCTCTATATACTCCTTCAAACGGTGGATTGGCTGAACAATACGACAGAACCACTGGTACACCAAAATCCGCTCGTGATCTCACCTGGTATGCAGTCCTATTATCACCCTGAGTACCATGCTAATCCGATGATAAAGGTCTTATGCTGCCGCCATTACTGCTTTTGAACGCCGAGCAGGTATTGTTCCAGCACCTTGGGGCGCTTCAGGACTTGTTGCACCTTCCACTTGCCAGACCGGCGGTGGAGGCGGTGGAGGTACCACTGTCGCGGTCACCTTCTCAGTCACAGCAACAACCGTCTGGGGTGAAAGCATCTATTTGACTGGCAGCCTGTCTCAGCTCAGCAACTGGGATCCAAACAACGCTCTTGCTCTTAGCGCCGATAGTTACCCTCAATGGAAAAGTATATTTGCAATTTTATATCATCTACAAAGAGATGCTGACAATCATTTAACCTAGTCACCGTCAATCTCCCGGCATCAACCACCTTCCAGTACAAGTTTATTCGCAAGTACAATGGCGCAACCACCTGGGAGTCCGATCCCAACCGAAGCTTTACTACTCCTTCCTCTGGAACATACACCATCAACGATAGTTGGAGATAAATGTATATTTGGTACCTTGGGCATTCCAGGGCTACGTAATGCATCTGCGAAAATATATTGTGTGTTTAACTTAACTTTACCATGTGGCAGTGATAGTTCAGCATGCATCGAATATCAGCTTAGTAATAGGTGACATCAGAGAAGCACTCAGCTGGTTCAAGTTGAGCAGAAAGTTCAGAGCTTGGTTCAGGAACAGCGACTTCTGACCTTGACAAGGCCAATGTAAACAACGTGTCGTAGTTTCACCATATGACCATTCACTTCGTTTATGTTTATAGTAATTAATGGAGAGCGAGTTGACACCTGCAAGCAATTTGGTTGGTACCTGAACAATAGTTCCTTTGTTCGAGCTGTTTGACACTGTTGAGGCCGATTCCTTATTCGGTAAGTAAATTTGGCTTGAGTTTTGTCAATCAACGTACAACTAAGATTCGGAGCGCTTTGGTCTTTTGGTTGAGCTCTCATTAAATGCGCAAGGTATGGATGACGGAACTTCAAGAAGTATCACTCCCTGTTTTCGACTATGTCTTTTTCTGCGTTCAATCGACGGAATGCCAGGTTTTCCGCATCGCAAACCGTCCAAGAGTACTGCGCCCTCGCAACAATACCCGACCCTCATTACTACCCTGCTAGGCCATCTATCCCGGAGGGATGTACGCCAAGGAATGTCCCCTGCACACAACGGCTCGATACCACACGACTTGTTTTAGTACATAAATTTGAGCAAGAGTACTTTGCATCGCGGGTCGGTGAATGTGAGTCTGTTCATTATTTTCGTAAAATTCCATTGTTTGAACCTATTCTCTTCGCAGTACTAGGAATTTGTGGCTCAAAACCGATTCGCCAAGACTTGATGAACTCTTCTAATAGAGCTGCTAGACTATCTGCTTCGCGACGAAGGGGGTCATTGGGTCAAGATATAATTTCAGACATCAAATCAGGGATTATACCTCGGCTTGAACAAGTGATAAACGACGCTAGCTCTGAAGGCGACAGGTGGACACTGCAGGTTGTACCCGAGGATTCGGATCCCCTGAAGGGCTTCCATACGCTAACTTGGACGCATCCCTCTGGTCGAAAAAATATATGGTATGAAAATTGTGACAATCGCATCTTCAATGTATACGCAATAGAACCGTGGAGCCATACAGCCGAGGACCTACAAAGGTTCCAAGCCAAACGTGGGGTAAATCTGCTTCTTCAGCTCTCTTTTAGGGGATGGATCTTGATGCACGAGCTCTCAGTTTCATCCATCCAGAATACCGTCGATGAAGTTATTGGAAGATTTCCCTTGGGGTTGGGAAGAAGAGCTTTGGGCAGAGGTATGAACTGTTACTCCACTTGTCGTATATGCGTCTGATGCTTGTGTAGCTATATTCACGGTGCTGGGCAACTAACGCTCGTTGGTTTGTGGTAACGACCTATGAGAACTGGATATTTGGCGTATTTTCCGAAAGTAAGGTATAACTCATCTATGTCTGGTACTCCATGGCTGATTGGCCCTTCGATTATTGCTTGGTAGCTTGGGAGTCCGCTGCCATCACGGCAATTCATCCATATACCTCCAAACAGCCGAACATCATAGAGTGTCTTTTCTTCTGGTTATTTTCAGCAATGCACCAAGACAGGTGGGATTGGGCTTATAAGATACCTGAGGTTCGTAGCAGTTGCACTGCGTGCTACCTCTGCTAATAACACGATTTTCGTTAGGTTTCAACCGACTCCACCGCCACTCTAACTACCTCGGATTTAAGAACGGAAAATAATTTACCGCCTGATGTCAGAAAGATATTTGGTCCTACCGAGCAAGAGCAAGAGCAAGTATTCAGGCTTACCAGGCTCTGTAACATAGCAAAACCCACCCAGGACCCTCCTTCCGGTCGCCCCACTCGTGTTCTCACAGTAGACCTGTGGAGAAAGCCCATGGATCTAAAAAACCTTCTTGCACCTCATCCGTACGCTGAATTCATAGCTACATTGCATGAGAAAGAGGCGAGAATTCGCAGGTGGAGACTGGGTCAACTGGGGTTCACCGATGACGCGAAGATTCGGAATGAGGTTAGGGATGAAGACGAAGATAGCATGGTAATAGACGGCTAGACTGCTTAGATATAAGATTTTACACTCCCATGTTGTATGAATTATGCCTGTATGCAAGCTGTATGCTAACTATGGATTCTACTCACGTGACTCAATACCATTTTCGGACTTGCGTGTCGGACTTTCGACACGTTGAACAAATCACCACCACATACCAACGATGCCCGTAGGGATCGAATCCTGGATTGCAGACATTCCACCTGTGACACGATGGTGGATCCTCTCCTCTTGCGCTATTAGTCTGGCCGTGGTACGTTTTCTGTCTTGTTCATCTGACGGCTCCTCATAAACCTCGACTTCCCAGCAATGCCAACTTGTGGCACCAGTACAGCTGTACTTTAGCTTCAAGTCAGCTTTTGTGAACGTACAGGTGTGTATAGAGAGCATCCGACCTTACATTCACTCACGCGCATCATTGCTAGCCGTGGCGGGCAATTTCGACCTTCCTATATTTTGGCCCACTCTCCTTAGATTTCGTCTTCCACCTGTTCTTCTTGTGAGTATACGGCTATCTTCTAGTATAATCATATGAGTGACAGAGCTTATCGTTGTATAGCATGAGATATTCCCGCATGCTGGAAGAATCCTCATACGCAAATAGGAAAGCAGACTATCTGTGGTTATTGATTCTATCCTCCTTGGTGCTCTTGGCGGTATCACCCCTCATAACCCTTCCTTTCCTGTCGTCATCTCTCGCCTTTGTACCAATCTATCTCTGGTCACGAAGTCATCCTTCTACTCAGCTCTCACTCTTTGGGCTTGTCAACATTACCGCACCATACCTTCCTTTGACCCTCGTCGCTATTAGCTGGATGATAAACGTAAGCTACCAAGCGGTTGTGGCGGATCTGGTGGGATGCATGGTAGGTCATATTGGATGGTTCCTTCGAGATGTGTGGACGCGGGAAGCATTGGGGGGTCAGACCTGGGCCACTAAGGCTCCTAGTGGTTTGTGAGTATTTTCTTACTCCTTAGCGCGGGTAAAGCATTCTAATCAACTCCTCGATAAGGCGACGTCTTCTTGGTGATGCTTGATTCATGTACATTGAGCTAGGGCATGCTTGTTGTCAACTTAATAACCGAATGATATTGTGGAGACGCAGACTAGCAAATACGATGTACATGGTCACATTGGATTACTCCTACACATAAGCTTCACCAGCGGAACCTCAGAGCTCAGACCAACATGAACCTTGCTTAATGCCCTCTACTCGTGGAGTATTTGTTTGAGGAATACAGACTGGCGTGGCTTGGAAGTCGTGCTATTTTGTACAGCTTGCGCCTAAGAATGTGACATGTAATTTCAATTTGGTTCAAACAACGGCAGTAGCTGATTGGGGGAGCGTCGAGAGAACCCTCTGCTGTGAGGCCGTCTGGCGCAATGGTGGCGTGTCCGCCTACGACCAAAACTAGTTTGACTAGTGTCTGCAAGCGGGAGGCTGCAGGTTCGAGTCCTGCGACGGTCATTTCTTTTACATCTTCGAATGCCCTGTCGTATATTGGGCTGCCCACGAATTGGGCTGGTCACAGTATAACCGAATTTCCGAGTACATTTGCTCGTCTCCCACACTGAACACCAAGCCATATCTCTGGCTGACGATGGTTGTAAGCAACCAGGTAAAATCATCTATTCATTTGTACATCGTCATCAACTAGTCCTTCCAACAATCGTAGTTCGTCCCAAGGGCCAAGACCGTCAAAGAGGCGTACACCTTCCCTGGGTCCAGATATTTGTATCACATCTTTTGCCGACTCGATCAAGTGGATCAGGAACTCAAAAGGAATTGTGCTTTGGTCTGCGTCACGCAAGAAACTGTTCCATGCAATCTTAGCGATTTCCAGGATATGGAGGCCTAAGGGAGGTCTTTAGGTGTAAGCAATGAATATGCGGTGAAGTGCGTACCAATCAGAGGATAGTTCCTCGGATAGATCCAGAAGTAAAGGGCCAGCAGCGACAAACCTAGAAGAACCGGTCGCGAGGATTTTTCCTCACTACACGACCAGCTGAAGCGGCTGCTTAGGTCCGACAGAAAGTGACCGTCGAAGAGCGGGACAAGTTCTCCCGGTAGCTGATTCAGCGAGAAAGAGTGAAGTGGTATTCGGATATTATAAGATAGGGTAGGTCTTTCTTCCTTGACGGGAAATGTGGCCCGAAGGAGGCGAGCCTCCAAGTCATCGACGTTTTGGTCGTCGAAGGTTCCTGAAGCTACGGCCATCGCTTCCTCTATTTGACATCTCTCACAACAGCACTTGAACATATAGAGGTCTTGGAGCTGTTGTCGACGCCTGCGGAATGGCGTAGCGGGGTCTAGATAAGAGACAGTGATCTAGTGAACAGATTAGCTGCAAAAAGAAGATGCAGAGCAAGTTGGAGATTGGAACACACCTCTTCTCCCCTGACAATCGCGGTGATGGCACGAACCTCCATTATAATATCGTTGCCTTCATAAAAGTATGTGGGCGCTGCCGAAGGACGACACGAATGGTTGAATGAGCGGCTAGCAATTGGGAAAACACCGTTGGCAATCGCCTTTAAATAGCCGTTAGTGATGACCCAGTGGTTGTTGTCTATTGTTGTAAGGAGGTGGTTTAACAACTTCTTGTTGGGTTGATAACGAGATGTGATAGGAGGGATGGCATGCGGTTCCTCCTTTAGGGTAGAGTTGTTCACGAGGGATAGTAAGGCGTCTATGGAATCCATCTCTGGCAATGAATCACCGAGCTGCTCCGACTTTTTGGGTACAAGGTTGCAGGTAGCTTCTGTGGCAAAATGACTCGCAATAAGATGAGACACTAGTATGCCATCCATTATTTGATCTGGAGAGGAAGATTCCGGAGGGACGAATGACTTCAAAGTTTTACATAGTTTTCGATGATGACTTTTCCATGCCAACTCTTGACCTACATAGCACAGGGGTTCAAGAAGTGTGAGATATCAAATATCTTTGAAGTCCTTACATCGGGAATCGCAGTACCAGTACCTTTCAAAACGTCAACTTCATCAAAAGTAGATGTATTTCAAATTTAATGGTCAGACGCACCTAAAGCACCCTGTACAACGTTTAAGATTTGTCTTTGGTGATGCAAGGCACTCATCACATCGCTCCCCTTTCTCGTCAGGCAGGAGAATGGTAGCAAGACAGGAGCTTCTCAAAACAGTAGTGCCAGGCAGTATGTCATGAACCGCCACTGCTCTGCTGCGGGCAGCAGGATCCGGCTTCAAAACAAACATGAAGCCTGACTGAGTTAGGGAGTACAGATTTTTCGACTGGAGTTGAAGTGAATGTACTAACAGACGAAATGGAGCAGGTGAGACCTCAACTTGAGGAGATTCTACTTTGATCTACAAAACTCCAATTAATAAACGCTCCGATTGACCAAGCACCAAGCGCATCTAGATCGCCCTGGTACAATGGCCTAGGCATTTATGCAAGCGGTTTGTAGCTTAGTAGGGATTCAACAGTCTTCGCTGTGTAATTTATAGTGACTTCAACCTGGTTTGCTGCTATTCCCCACATAGACTGCCTAAATCTGCGTATGACTACCTACTCAATCGGCGACATGTTGCAACCCCATAAATTAATCCCTATCATATTTTCGACCTAGTTCAGTGGCGAAGACATCAGCTCCTGTCGAAGCACGTCCTCGTCTTTCATTTTTGAAATGGTTGGATACGAGGAAGGCCAGATCTTAAATGTAATGGCATGAATGTATATCTCACATCAAAGAAGTTAAGCCTCTTACCTAGACTCTGTTCAAAGTTCAGACGTGGATCACAGAAGCTCTGATAGGCAATGTCAATAATCAGCATTTAGCACAATATAATGTGAAGACGCGGCCCACCTGATACCTCAAGCCCAATTCCTCTTCCGAGAGCTCCATACTACCACCCAGGCACTCGGTAACACTATATCCTTCTTCATTAAGCTCTCCTGTAAATTCAAGACTGACACCATTAAGACGAGATCCTGATGACGCGTGAATACGCAGACAAGACGTCAGTTCTGCAACGATTGTGCTGAAGTGGCGAGTCTTGAGACCGGATGAAGATGTCAATGTGCTAGAAAAAGAAAGTGTTTACTCAGATGATAGATGGTCTTGTCAAGCTCACGTACTTTCCATGCATAGGATCGCACACCCATATGACTGGGTGACGCGATTGCTGCACGGCAGCAATATGGCTTGGAAGATGTGTCTCAATCTGCAAGGGACATACTGTCATGTAATGTCACCCCAACATAGACATATCCATACCTTCTCGGCTCCATAACGAGTTATCAGAGTTACTTTCCCGCTTTCGTGGCGGGGGTTAACCACTGTTCGAGGAATTAGTCAGCGGACGGCACAGAATGACAAAAATACATTGGCCACACCTTCTAAAAGTTGAATCAGTTCATCCGGCTTCATGCTTGGACCTACTTTTACGCCAATAGGATTCCGTATTCCTCTGAAATATTCAATATGGGCACCATCCAGCTGCCGTGTCCTATCCCCAACCCACAAGAAATGCGCTGAGGTGTTGTAAGGAGCAAGCCGTGCGGTCGAAACACTGGAATTCATCAGCGGCGATTCTGACGGGATGCTTGTCCCAGTTGGCACAGACATAAAGCGAGTAAGAGATTCCTCATAATCCAGCATGAGGCCTTCATGACTGCAGAATATTATTGAGCTCAGGGCGCAAGCATAGATTAAATCACCGCACCTGGTATAAAGGTCGACTTCCCCAAGAACACCTCTGACACCGCCATTCGCATACCCACTAATTCCGCCAGACCCCGATGTGAAACCAGGTTCTGCACCAATTACACGACAAAACTCCAAAGCGTCAGCTAGTCCTGAGGATATATTCTCGAATTCAGCGCGGAGAACAGGACTTCGGACATGGCTTAGAGACCAGTCCCTCGGATTATTAAGGGATGCGAAACCTGACGCCAAAAGCGAACGAACATAATTCAATGTCGTGGTTGAGTAGAAGTATGCGCTTGAGAAGGTTGATTATTGAGAGATCGATATTTTTTATGGATATCAGAACATTACCTCAACAGTCTTTCTGGATTGGGAGCACGGTCATCTGGGGAAAGTCTACAAAAACAATAGTATCAGTCCGTATCTTCTGACCAAACTACATCGCAGTTGACTCGCCCATTCACATTGTCACCTCTTATAGTTGAATTATCAACAATGAGCCAGTTTGATTGCTTAATTTACATACCGAAAGCTCATAACCTCTTTAACGGAGCCGCTATGGTCCTTCAATTTCTCCGTCGGACTGCTCCTCGGTTTTGCATATTGGCCAGCAATCCTACCGATACGGACCACAGGCATCCTCGCCCCCCAGATCAAAATTAGAGAGAAGGATAAGATGAGTCCTATCTTGTTCGAGATATTTTCCTAATGAACAGCGCTCGGTTGAGATTTCACCAGGTACTTGAATCGGGCGCACCTCTGTGCAGGCCTCGAAGCTTTCTGCGCAGTCGCCAGCGTGAAGCAAGAAAGCCTCGTTGTTTTGAACACGGGTTAATTGTGTTCTTAATCTCTCAATCTAGACAAAGCGTTATGATGGTAATCATACTCGTCAAGGCGGCAACTCACCTCGCCTGGCGTGACTAGAGGCGGAAGCTTTCTCAGCTTCTCCAAAACACTGTATTGGAAGAAGGTAAAGTATGCAATCAACGTGCAATAGCGCCATACGCACTTGGACAATTGTGTTTCGTCTGGGTAGTGGACAGGTTGTGCAACTGGCTTCGATCTCCATGATGATGGTGACCATTCATTGTGGGTTTCCATGTTGACTGTTCAATGACAATAGTGAATACAATCTGGAGATGCTTGGATCCGAAAGGATGGTATTGGTGACTCTGAACAAGCTTTTGTGAAGATGAAGCCTGGCTTTCCTATGACTGTAAGCGTGCTTTAGAGTGAGGGATCTGTCCACAATTAAAGATCCCAAGTGTCAGAAGAGTCAACTGCCAGCTGAGCAATACGATATTATTCCGGGTAAGGCACTATTATTACTCCAACGTTTCATGTCGCACTGTCGGAGTTCAAATGATGGCTTCCGAAATCATTATTAATATTATTCAGCCTCCTATTTGTCAAGTAATGTACGGATAAAATGTTTTTATAATGGATAAATGTACATAACATTAAGTCGCCTCTCGAGCAGACGTGATCATGAGCGTTACACCGTCATTAAGTAGCTGAAGTGTCCGTTGGATAATATGAATTGCAAAACAGATACATCACAAGTAACCTAACCTTTACCAGCCAAAAGGTCGTTTCATTCCAGTCCATGGGCCATACTGCTCCTTCTTATGCAAAGGCCTATTCAGTTCCATGACGAAGCATCGTGGATCAGCAAAGCCCAACTTGGCCTTTGCAGCTTCATCGTCCCTGTACAACCCAAAGAAGCAGACGTTGTCGAAGAGTAGATCAATGTTGGTGAGCGCATGGTCAGGCAGAGTTG